GTTCGTCTGTAACTGTGAAAGACATTACAGCATTCTTTTCTTTCCTATCTGACCTGATCTGCCTGAGGGAAAAAAAGTATATTATTTAACACCAGAAAAAAAATTTAAAAAAAACATACACCATAAAGACATTCATTATTCTGCCCTCTGCATCAGCACCAAAAGGCAACACAAAATTACAAAACCAGTGAACCATCTAGAAACCTAGATAAACACTTTAAAAAACTACAAACAAAAAGTGTGATCATATAACAAGATCACAGCATCCCTTAGTGACCTGAATAGAGAGTACTGGTATCACGCTCAGATACAGACAAGGAAATTCATGCCCTCATTCTACTGTCAGCAAGGCAAAATTGTCATCATTGCATTAATACAGAGTAACGCTGCTGTTAATTACTAAAAAACAGAATCTGATTTATTCTTTTCAAACAAGTCTATATTCCACAGAAACAAGCAAGATTTACTTACCATACACTTAGTAACCGGTCATGCACTGCTCCAGACAAGAAATACAGCCCAGTAATTCCATCAAAGGGTTGATTTTCATTTGGAGGTCGTACTGTTGTGAACATTAGTGATGAAACTGCTGTTGCATGGCCTGTGAAATGCTAGTGGAAACAAAATCTCATTTGAGAAGGGATGATGTAGTCATCAAGAACAACATTTTGAAAAATGTATCCCTGTGCTGAGAATTATTAGTCAGTCTTTACTAGAGTAAAGACACTTCTGTAGTATTAGTAAAGCAGAACTATCCAATTACTGTGAGCTTCTAAATTTCAAGGAAAGGTTTCTTGAACCGTGTGGACATAGGACAAACAAACAGGTGGAAGTGGGAAAGCATTAGAAAGAAATGTGCCATCCTCCAACAACCTTGCATATTTCCAGCACTCTCCATAAGATGGTACTGCACAAGTACTGCTGGTACTGCCCAAGAGTATTTCCTCATCTATTAAATCTTTTTGCTGGGGTCTACAAGAAAAATGAAGACATGTTTTCATCTGCAATCTCTAGTCCAGCGCACAGATGAGCCAATACACTCAGGATTTAAGTGAAGATCTCCTGTTTAACCCTTAAGGCACACAAGTACCATATTTACTCAAATAAAAGACTACACTGATGAGATGACCTCCCAATAATTAGATTCTATATAAGGAAAATTTATAAATGTTATCATTTTCCAGGTATAGAGTCTAATTATCGGGGGTTTGTGTTGAATTTGGTGATCTCTCACTGCTGTAGCAGGGAAAATAAATCTGAGGGGGATCAGGTAGTCCTTTGCCTTCTGCTTCCCCCCAACTTTTTCCCTTGGCAGCCCCTTCCCACTCTCTCCTTATGGTCAGACCCTGCTCTCCCTGAGCGCATGGAAATGAGAAGCCAAGTTGAAAACAATAACCTTAAAATTAAACATGGCTGTAACAATTTGAGTATTACCCACGCACTTAGTTATTCCAGAATGCTACCTCTTTTTTTTTTTTTTAAACTGATGCAAATTTTAGCACAAGTATACCATAAAAACACTTGTAAGCATCACTTTGGCAACTACTTATATGTAGTACAAGCTATATTAGTCCAATGCCAAAGGTTCATAATTTATCATATAGTTCATTGGCCTGGGCCCCACCAGAGTGAAGAGCATTTCAAGCCGTAGTGACCCCACAGTTCAGCAGTGCTCAGTATGTGTCTGTACTCCAAATACACTCCCCCCTCCCCCACAACCAAGGGCCCATGTGCTAATTAGCCCCCACTCATGACTGGAACCAGGTATTCTTGTCACAAATCCTGGGATGCTGCAAAAATGTATATGCAGATGAGGCGCAGGGCAACCTGCTCCAACTTCACCTCATGGAGGGCAGGGCCACACTGATCATGTACGCCAGGCTGAGAGAGGGTCTGCGTATGCAATGTTGCGGCACACCATGACTTGTAAAAGTGTCAGCAGTGAGGGGGACTGCGCTTTATGGGTACTATCATATATCTTATTCAAGTGGGCTACACTAATCTAGTCCTGTGGTACGTTCCCATCAGCATGTTTACCCAATGTAAGCCATGTGTTTTATAGTCATGCTGAGTGTTGGCTGCATTTAATCAACTTCATAGCTGGTTTCCATTGCTGAACACCTGCTGCTTTTGGCAGTTTAACAATAGACAATGTATTTAGTGAGATTTTGTTGTATGCAATTACAGGATGAGGGACTCGGGAGGGAAACCTTGTCTTGTATTTCAGTAAATATGGTAGTTACATTCTACTTGTTCAGACCAAGTTTGGTCTATCCCCGTGTTTCCAGAACATTAGGATTTTTGCTACCAGACCTCCTCCTAACTGCTTTGATGGCAAGTTAGTAACTGACCATTTAGAGATAAGGCTACCTGAGGAAATTATGAAGTCTTATTACACCTGGTCCCTGAATCCCACTGTCATACAATCCATTATCACTTCTGAAAGCAGTTGGTTTGGTCTATCTTTTTGTTTTTGCATCCAGAATAAGGAACACATGCAAAAAAAGATCCAGGGAAAACAAACGCCACGTGAACTTATACTGAAAGTTTGTACAGGGGCTACTGGCAGCAAGCTCAGACACAGCCAAGGAATTTAGCGTCCTCATTCAACTGTCAGCAGATCGAAACCACAGTTGAAGGTATCATCACAGCAGCAGCTTCCAGCAACCCCTGGCCTGACAACTGTTTGTCTTGTGCCACAACTTGGACACGCTTTGTTATGAAATAGTAGATAGGCAATGCCTGTTTAACCCCGAAAAAAAATACTGTTTAGCATGTAACAAGACACTCACTCTGTAGACTTCTTTGGTCTCCAGGTCCCACAGTTTGATAGTTCGACCAGCTGAAAGTAACATCTTCCCATCTGGACTGATGCACAGTGAACTGACGCTGCTATTGTCGCCTTTCCATTTGCTAGATTGAGGGCGGAGAGGATGTGCAAGAAGAGAGGGGGCGAGGGAAGAAGAAAGAATATGTTGCTTGTCAACACAACTTCCAACTTCTATCAGTAATGGTGAAGCAACCAAGAAAAAAAAATGCATCACTTTTAAAAAACTGCAGATGTCACAACTATATTTCAAAAATCAGAAAACGTGTGCTAACTTAACCAACAATTCTACATGAGATTCAGTACTGATGAAGGGGCTGCCAACTCAGAACCTAACAGCCTGTACACAGATCAGGAGAAACATTTACTGCATCAATGCACGATTCCACCTCCCTCCACCCCTCAAAAAGTATACTTCAATTAGTTCTCAAAGGGCCACTTCATGAGTGCTATTCAGTTCTCATTGCTAACCAATCGTTGGTCCCTTTCTGTTGAGGCTGCCAAGAAGTATTTCAGTAGTGAACATTAATGAATTAAGGACTTTGATGTTCTTGGATAAAAGTGCAATATGCTGCTGTAAACACCTGCACCTTCCAAGAACAATTCAGTGGCAGGATAATCACACTGGCCTTTAAATTCTAAGAAAAGCAGCAATCTACACCCAATTCAAGAGGTGCTCCATATGAACATCACACATTTTGATTCCTTGCTACTGTATTCAGAATGAGTTTTTTGGAACATCTCATTTACCAAGCTCATTTGTTGCATATTATCCTCAACTGAATTCTGAGAAGAGGACCTAAACAGAACAGGTTTGGTTGCATAGAAAAGAATTTCAAGAAAGGCTTACTCCAAGCAACATAAGACATAGCTTAAATCCCTCAGTTACAATGTAGAAAACCCTAACAATTTGTTCTTAAAGATATTTTTAAATAAAACAATACAGAAAACAATGGTGGTACTGTGATACTGATAACCAGTATCCAGGATGCAGTCAAGGAAACATTTACAGCTGGAGACAAACAGCAGCAAAGTTTTGAACTCCAGTTTGCATTCAGAATGGGAGGGAACCAGCTAACCTCCATCCCAAAATTCAAGGGTGATACCATATGACTGCAGAGTAGTAAGGGTATTTAAATTTAAGAGGATGGGGGAAGGGAGGAAAAGTTATTTAGGCAATTAAAAATCAGTTAGCTTGAGCTCAATAACGTACTTTAAAACAAATATCAACGGAAAGAATAAATGAAAAAAGGTAAAAGGAAAATGTTAAGAGGTGCACCAATAAAGATTTATTGGCCAATACCAATAGCCAATTATTAACCAGCCATATCAGCAGATACCAATCCAATAACTGATTTACAGGAATACAGCCTGGCAGCTCCGTAAGTCTGTGGGGGAGAAGGGGTGTGGAGGAGAGGGGGTATGGGGAGGGCAAATTGAGGCCCCCATGGTGAGGGAGTGGGGCAGGGGCAGGCACTGTCGAACAAGGGCAGCGAACATGAACCCGGGGCCAGGAGCGGAACAGAGCCACAGGAGGCACATCCAGGGCACATGAGGCGGAAGGGAGGGAGGCTTGCTGCCGCTGCACACATGCCCAGGGGAGGCATGGAGGGCATGTGCCCCCTTCGATTCATGCAAGGGGTGGGTGCAGGCTGCCCACTGTGGGCTCAGGGCCAGGGGCTGCACTCAAAGCGGGCAAGGCAGTCTCAGCTGCACGGGGCAGGCAGCAGTGCCAGGGGGAGGCTTGAGGGGCTGTGGCCACCCCAAAATTGCCCATAGCCACCGCTCCCAGCCCCAGGGTTGCATTCACTGCCCTGGCTTGGCAGTGCCAGCCCCTGCCCCACTCCCTCCCTCACCGTGGGGGCCTCCATCTGCCACCCCCTCCTTCCCACCCCCTGACTTACTGGCAGAAGGCTGCTTTTCAAGGTGCTGAGCTGCATTCCTGGCTGCACGCATGCTGCAGCTGTGCTAATACACGCAACATTTATCAGTGACGTTATCAACCAAAAAAGCCAACTGCAAATAATGTTAATTTTCCTGTTATCGGTGCTGATCTAATATGTGACTGATATATCGGTGCACCTCTAGGAAAAATAACAATAAATGCCAATCTTGGCACACACTCTCCCTTGCTATAGCTCTGTTTGACTGCACTTCAAAACAGAGCCAGCTGATGCTGGCAGCCAAAAGGAAACCATCCTCACTGCACATCAGTAGTGAGCAAAACTAAGTGTATATCATCATAGCAAGGCATTCTGACGAATGGACATTAGAGTGTTTCTTTGCTATCCCCTGAAAGGAGAACGCTTTTCAAAGCATTTAAGTGACCTAGGCACCAAAGCGCCACTGAAAGGGGCCTGAGGGTCTTAGATCCTTCCCAAAAATGTTACACTTCTCCTAAGCTTACTGAAGTGCATCTGCAGACATGAGCAGAAAAGTCAGACTATGTGTGTGTACTTGCCCTATTAAGTTCCTTAAATAAATAACGATAGTAGTTCAAGTTTGAAAGTCACAGCCACACGAGATGCAACAGATAGACATAAACCAATAGTGGTAGGGACTCCATGCCCCTCCATACCAAACAGGAGAGGTAGAAAAGTCAATTGGGAATGATAAACTCAAGCCCAGAACAATGGCAAGCACAGAAGAGCACACCAGTTCCAGCTGTGGCCATGGCTCCTCCATGCATCCCAAAGTCATTTTGCACCACACACTGGGCTGGCCAGGGACATGCCCAGCACATGGTGCAGCATGGACTGTGCAGCTGCCATGGCTCCTTCACTCACCTGGAAACATGTTGTACTTCAGGATGCTACTTGCATTTCTGCCATGTCCCAGAGCTTGGCAGGCCATGCGCTAGGGAGCAGGTGCAACAGCAGGGACTGGAACAGGGGCTCCAGAATGTCTCCAACTGGAGAGGGATGGGCAGAGCAGTCAGGTAATGAACTGTGCAGGGCTGTGCTTGCTAGACTGCAGTGAATGGGAGACGCTCTGCAGGTAGGATTGAGGTTTGCAGTGCAGAGGGGTACCTGCCTTTAATCAGTGTATGAACAAGGGCTGCCTGCCCCCAAACTCCTAGGGTTTGTAGGGAGCAGGGGTTTCTCTAGAGGGTCACTCCCACTGCTGAGAAATTGCATGGAGCTAGAGCAAGTTCAGTAGTTCTTACACATGTGCTTTGTGAAGGAGTATCTTAGTGTCACATTGCAGTTGAAGATTAATCTCATATAAATTATATATTCCAGCCATCCTCACAACTGAGCTGTGTTAATTCAGTCCTCCATTACTGAAAAGTTGCCAACCCCTGCTCTAGAGAATGGACACAGGTGTTGAACAAAAAGCAAACAAGGGAAAGTTGTTTTCCCTGGTAGGTGCTGTCAGCATGTCACATTTATGATTGGTTTTACTGTGTTATTTCTGGTCACTGCAAGCTAACAGATTCACCGCGGAAGTGGCCCAAGCAGGAAAGTTATTGGAAAAGGAAATTCAGTCGGACAAAGCATGAAGCGCTACCACATAGGCCAGCTCTCCACCTACTCCCTACTTTGCAAAACTGGCACTGTATCAAAACAACACTAGTGAAGGAAAAGGATAATGGTGGCCAAGACAACACAGGAGGTACAAGAAGACAAAGAAAGGTGTCCTCAGCCCAGAGATGGATAGACAGTATGTCAAGCCCATTAACAGGTCTATTCTATGGGAACAAGCAAGGTGCTGTCATCCCTGTCCAAGTTCTGCAATGCACATTCTGAGCCACTCCTGCAGTCGCTACAGACTCAGATATCACATCTATATCCACCATCCACATCCATTAAAATATTTCACTGGAACAGGGCAACTCATGACTGAGAGCAGAAGTGGGCTCTGCACAGAGCTGATGTTACTGGTATAGTGGCTGGCACCCGGATTGGCTCTGACTATATACAGAAGGTCCTCCTGTCCTACATGCAGCCTTTGGAAGGATCCCAGCATCAACTGCACTCAGAATCCTCATGGACTAAAAAACAATATTGGACTCACTCTACAAAAAGGCAATTTAATACACAGCAGAAATGCAATAAAAGAATCCCACCAACATATTCAATAGAAAGGAGAAAGCAATAATGGCTAGAGGTGCACTGATACATTAGTCCCATATTATATCAGCACGAATATAAGGAAAATTGACATTATCTGCAATCAGCTTTTTTTTGGCTGATGTGGCTGATAATGTTGCTGATAAATGCCCCATTCATGTTTGCAGCCGCAGCACAGCACACAGGCAATCTGGAGCGCAGCCTGACTGTGGAGAGCAGTGTCCAGCTGGTAAGTCTGTTGTGGGAGAAGGGGCAGAGGGAGGGAAGGGGGGGAGCTCGGAGTAAGACCCCCAAGGTAAGGGAGGGAGTGGGGCTGGGCAGGCGCTGCCCAAGGAGGGGCGGGGCAGGCCATGGGATGGGACAAAGGTGCAAGCAGCCGCCTGGGAGATGCAGAGGAGAGATGTTCCCACCACTACGTGCACCCCAGGAGGGCATGGAGAGCATGCACACAGATTTGTGCGTGGGGTGAGGGTGGGCTGCTGCTGCGAGCTGGGGCCAGGATCTGTGCCAAGCGCTTCCCAGCGAAGGGGCGGGGCCATGCTCAGGTTAGGAGGCAGCGGCGCTGGGAACAGGGCTGGGGGGG